GCATATTAGAATCACGGGGGAGTTTCCAAAGACCCTTTGCCCCGGACATACCTTATACCAATTAAAGCAGAATTTGTGAGAACTCCCCAAGGGATCCCAAGGTCAGCCAGCCAAGGCTGAGAATGCCTGCTCTGTGGGAAACCCTGTCTGATTCATAGAACACAGGGATTGCTTGTTGGATTGCTCCAGTGCCTAATGTTGGGGCACATCAAAGAAGATTATTCTTTTTTCCCCTAGACCCAATTATTTCAGTCATTGACCTCATGTGATTCGAGGGGTCGCATATGAGAATTATTTTCACACAAGTTAGTTTAAGACTAGAAACACTGACTTGGAGAAGAAATACTATAGAATCAAAACAAACACATAGCCCTGGCCACATAGTTGGAGCATGGTCCCAATGCATCAGGGTTGCCAGTTCAAACCCTGGTTGGGGCACATGCAGGAGTCAACCAGTGAATGCATGAATGGGTGGGACAGCAAATTGATGTTTCTTTCTCTCTTCCTAAAAATAAACACTCACATACAACACCCCCCCGCCCCCCACAGTATACTATGGCTTTTCTTCTTTCATTTTTAAAAATAGATTCTATTTGGGGATAATTTTAGATTTAATGGAAAAGTTACAAAGAAATTATGGAGAATTTACGTATTCCCTTCACTGAGTTTCCCCATCATTAATATTTTACATTGCCATGGAACATTTGTCAAATCTAAGAAATTGACATTGGTTCATTACTATTAACTAAATAGTGGGTTTTATTTGCACTTCATCAGTTTCTCTATTAATCTTCTCTTTCAGTTCCTGGATGCAAAACAGGGTACCACATTGCGTTAATTGTCATGTCATGATGGCTTTTTAAAATTTGATGGGCTCCGGTGTCTCAGCTGCTTCTCTGGTGTCTGAAGCAGTCAGGACTACTATGTTTTTGTGCTTTGTTAACACTACATTGCTACTCTCTAAGCCACCAATTTTCAACCTTTTCCATGGCACACAGAACCTAATTACTAAAATTTGAGGGGAGGGGTTTATAAGATAGATAAATAATAATGAAAAATACAGTAAAAAAAATTCTGCAGCACACCAAAAAATATATTTTTGCTGGTCTGACAAAAAAAAAAAAACCAAACAGGTGTTATTTTGATTCATTCACACCGAATGGGTATGGTGTTGGCTGTTGTCATTTTTTTATTTGACAGTCTATGGGAAAAGGGGTCAGTGCCCTGACTAAATAGTCAGGTATCACATGTTTTAAAAATTCTCGCAGCGCACCAGTGGGCCAGGACAAACACAGCTGAAAGTTGCTACTTGGAGTATTTGAATTCATTTTGTCATAACTCATTCTTGGCTTTCAGGACATCGTGCTTCTGCTCAGTAATATCCTTTTATTCGCTCTTCCTTTCAGAAAATCCCTTTGGAATGGCTGGAAGTAAACCCCTCTCAACTCTCCAAAGCTGTGTACAAGTGAGGGCCACAAGATACGAGATGAGTCAGAACTCTTTTTAGTTAATTTTTTCCCAGGCGGTTTCTGAGAAATGACCCAGCAGCATAAAGATGATTTTATTTTTCAAGGAGCCAAACTATTCTGAGCCAGATTCTTGCCCTCAGGGCTGCTCTCAGGTGTCTGACTGGATCTTGTGTCCTGGGCCTGCACCTGGTCACCCATGGGAGGCCTGTTCTGAGCATGAAGCTGCCATGTTTTCCTCCTCAGCGCCTGCTATTAGTTTTCTGGGCTCTAAAAGAGCATGAAGTTTTTAAGGCAAATTTCCACAAACTCAGTGGCTTAAAACAACATACATTTATCATCCCATAGTTTCGCATATTTGGGCTCTCCGCTTCAGGTCTTGCAGGCTGCATTACAGGTGTTGGCTGGGCCTGCAGTCTCATCAGAGGCTCGACTGGGGAAAGATCTGCTTCCGTGCTCCCTCAGGTGATTGGCAGAATTCAACCCCTTGCAACTCATAGGACTGACATGCCTGTTTCTTGCTCTCTGTTGTCCAGGGGTGCCCATGGTTCCTTGCCAAATGCCCTCTCACAACATGGCAGCTTCTTCAAGGCCAGGAAGGGGAGTCTCTAGCTCCAGTTTTACAGTGTAACGTAACCATGGGAATGACATCCCATCCCCTTTGCTGTTTTCTTCTGAGTGGAAGCAAGTTGCGGGTCCTGCCCCCACTCAGTGGGAAGAATTGTACAAAGGCTTGAACTGCAGGAAGTGGAGGTCACTGGGGGTCCCCTTAGGGTATGTTCATCACAGTAACCACGTACTACCGCCCCCGCCTCTGCAGTGCTGAGGAGCCCAGAAACTCCTTCTAGCAGCCCTACAGGCAGTGCTTTGCTTGCATTTGATGCTGTTTTTCATAGGGTTCACGGCAGGTAGAGGGTTTCTGTGTGACTGTGCCCTCCGCCCAGCACCCTCACAGAGCACTGGCTTCAAAGGCTTGGGCAGCCAGCACCTGTTCTCAGAGGATTTAGGCGTCTTTGCCACCTCCTCTCCCCTCACATACTCTTTGGTGTTACTATCCTTTCATTTCATATTGTGGAGGTAATTCCTAAAGGCAACAGGAGACTTACTGTTTGCTCATTTGTTCCTCCAATATGCATTAGATTTGCTTTTCCAAGAGACCAGAGACCAAGATGTGATTTTTCATGTTTATAATGCTGATTTTTGTTGGTCTTTTGTACTTCTTTCAGTTCAGTTGTAACTGAGATAATTATCTAACAGAATGAACCAGAACTGTCTTTCTTCTTACAGAATTCTCATTCCAGAAGCACAGGTCATGATTAGATCCTGTACTAAAAGTGATCTCTTACAAATTTGGGTGTGAGTTGCTTAAAGACAGACTCTTTTTCCTCATTGTATGTGTGTTTAACCAAGTAAATACAATTTTGACTTATTTTAAATGATTACTATTTTTCAACCCAATCATTTAAAATCTCAATGGGCATTTGTAAATAACCTCATGCAATCTGACATTAGTCTCCATGTGACAGAGCAGCTGGGGTTTCACATCTTAGAACTCTCCCCCCTCCCTTGCCTGTCTTTGTTGTTTGAGACCCCACACAAACATATGACAATATGTCATGACCAAGTCTTCTCTTTCAGAAGTCTGGAATCTTCTGCCTCAGTTCCTCTTAATATGTCTTTTGTTTGGAAGGGTGTGATAAAAATGTAGGGGAAAATGAGAACATGAATCTAGTCTCTGATGAAGTTTTTAAGGCAAGGAGAGTAGGGTGCAGAATTGGCTTATTCTTTTGGAATTAGTTTATCCCAGTTTGAGAAGTTTGGAATCGGTTTATTCTTTTATATTTCAAAAGTATCTGCCTCAGTCTCTACTTCTGAAAGGATATGTTAGAAGGAATAATAAAATCAAAATATGCTATTGATGTTTGCTTACCCAATCACACACCTGGGGAAAAAACCAAATCCTCTTTAAACTTTTGAGTTTCATGTAAATCATACCCAGTGTCTGAAGCAGTCAGGACTACTATGTTTTTGTGCTTTGCTAACATTACATTGCCACTCTCTAAGCCAGCAGTGGCTTAATAGTTGCCATTAATAGAGCCATTAATAGTAGCCATTAATAAGATGGTTTATAGTAGCGTGGATTGCTTCAAATGATATATAAGAATCTTAGAAATTCATTTAAAAATATTATAGCAAATATGCGTGTGAACTTTCAGTGGGATATATGTATCTTAGGAGTTCATTGTGAAAGTGCCCACTTCTTAAGAATTTTCTGGCCACAACTGGTCTCACAGGGGCCGGCCTGGTGGAGCTCCTTGTAAGTGGGCTTCTCATTCTCAGTCCTCAGCCAGTGGAGAGTGGCTGTGTATGTGGTGTGCTCCTGGACAGAGCCCAGGGCCTGGGTCTCTAAGTCCCACTCCCCATAAAGAAAGAGCGTGTTCTGTCGACAATTAACTACAGCCCCACTTCCTGTTGCCTTACACCTCGTGGGCCAAGGAATCACCTTCCATTTCTGGCAGCCATGTGGCGTCCAGGAGTTCCTAGACGTGAGTTAGTGTCATACTGGCACTCCCGAAAGGAACGACCAAAGCGGTGGAATGTCCTTCTGGTGACCACTTGCCTCTGGTTTTCCTGAATGTGCATAACATTGCGTCACATGCATGTTCGTGTGGTTGGAAAGGCAGGGAGCAGCCCCACCCCCTGTGTGGGGCAATGGCAGGAGCATGCTGGACACCTCTGTCCTGACCGGAGGGCTGCAGGTGTTCACCTCAGCCATCCAGTTTGGTTTTTTTTTAACCCTTACCCAAGGACATTTTTTTTCCATTGCTTTTAGAGAGAGAGGGAGAGAAAGAGAGGGAGAGATGTGAAAGAGAAACCTTGACTGGTTGCCTTCTCATATGCACCCTGACTGGGAATCAAACCCACAACCTGGCTGTGAGCCCCGGCTGGGGATCGAACCCCCACCACCTTTTGGTCTACAGGACAGTGGCTCCAGCCAGCTGAGCCACACCAGCCAGAGCCTTAGCCATCCATTATGTTCCCAGAATTTCTACTTTAGTTGCCTTATAGTCTTCCCTAATGCATCTTTAATTTTGATAGATTTTGTCAGATTACTCTCTATAGGGATTGAATGCTTTAAAATTCTTAAATATTTTTAAATTTCCTAAGTGATGAATATATGAATATATTTTCTTCAGAAAGTGGAAAAAAATAGAGCTATAGCTGAAGAGATAGAGCTAATGTATTAAAGATACATTACTGGAATGTGTGCATGTTGTTGTTGTTGAATGTAAGAGCCATACTGTGCCCTTCATTCTAAAATGATGCCTTTTATGTGATGACTTGTCTGGGAGATCTTTCTGTGATGTAGATCTCTCTCTATTATTTGAGTTGTTTACCATAAATTATTTTTCAGCAGTGCATTTTTGGCATTTACTTTCAGGAAATAATTTAGGGTCTTAGTAATCACCTACACTTTTTCTATATTGTGAAAAATTATAATCTTTATGTATGTGTTTTTTCCTCTCTCTTCAGATCTCAGAAAACTGATCTTCACAATGAAGGCTACACCTTGGAATTAGATTGCTGTTCCTCCTTACTTCACCTGACAGACCAAAAAATCATCCCAGAGTTCATTAAGAAGGTGAGCCCTGCAGTCAGGATAGAGTTGCAAAGGTTCTCTCCCCTGAGAGATCAGGCTGGGGGCTGGCTCCGTAGGGCAGGTCAGCTGAACTCTGTGGCCTGGGCTGGAGCCAGCGCCTCTCCTGACCTGGGCTCACCCCACAGGGACGCAGCCCCTCTCACACGTTGCTCAGGCCGAAGCGACTCTGAAACAGTGCCACTCTCTTTCTCCCAGGCTGGGAGGGCCCTGGACCCTGCCTTTTAGGGCTGGAGTGACATTAACAGCTGACAGGCCCGCAGCCCCGCCGCTGTGACTCCCCTCAAATCCTCAAGGTGGTGTGAACCCCCCCCCGCCCCCGATCCCACCTTCCACCAGTCCTGGGGGTCTCCGTTGCCACCAGTCCCCTTCCTTTCTTGGGGTGGGAGCGCGCCAGAGTCCTGCGGCAGCTGCGGCCGCTGGCACACGGTTGAATCAGGGAATCCCCTAGTCCCAGGGGATTCCTTCTCTGCCCAGAAATGGGTCTGGTTTTGAACTCTTCATGCCATGTGAGGTTTCCGTCTCACTACAGGGCACATTTGATGATGGCACTTACTGTAAAAGGGTGCCCTTGCCCAAATGGGGCTCAGTTCGTTGCTTCATGCTTCTCTTGTTCTCCCTCGCCCAGTCTTCCGCAAGAATTGACAATAGCCCACCCTGCAGAGGTGATTTGAGACCCAGTCAGTCAACTAGTGAATTCGTTAATCACTGTGTTGGCTGTTTCTAACTTTGGGCCAGAAATAGTCCTAGGTGCTTGGCTACAGAGGACAAAGTAGGCATGGTCCCTGTCCTACTGTCCTCCTAATAGGCAGGCAGACCCTGAAGGGGTGTGGTGAGCTTTACCAGGAGGGAAGCAGGGGGCCGAGGACCCAGCAACATGGTGTGAGCGGGGCCCTGGGGAGGTGCCTGGAGCTGAGACAAAAGGGTGAGGAGGGGTTACCTGGTGACTGGGCAGGGCAGGTGGGGGAGCCCTCCAGACAGAGGAAGCAGCAAGTGGGAGGGCCTGAGGCAGGAGGGAGCCAGGGGAGTCAGAAGTCAGGGGGCCTTTGGGAAAGAAAGGGAATGTGTGTTGTGGGGAGACGGGGCCAGGATTCGGCTGTAAAAGCAGTGGGAGGCTGTGGAGAGGAATTTTGCAGCAGAGTGAAATAATTAGATTGTCCTTTTAAACACTCAATGATTGTCTTTTTGTTGTTCCTTCCTGCCTCCCTCCTTGCAACATTTATTGACAATTCAGTGTTTACAAGGCCCTGGGAATAAACCACTCATGTGTGGTGGGGGCCAAGGCTGTAGACTGGGAATCGGATGATCTCTTTGGTCAAAAGTTCTGGTAATTTTACTAGGACGGTGGACACTCTACTCTGGTGAAATTCAGATTATTACAAACTGGGGGGAAAGCAGTTTTTATTCACACATGCATAAGCCTGAGAACACGAGCGTTCATGTCATTCAAATAGATGTCTGTTTAAATAGGGCCATCTTCTCTTGATTGCTGCAAATAGTGTTCTAATAAACTTGAGTAGGGACACATGAGAGGTGGAATTTATGCCATGGTCTGCGTACTGGGGGAAAAATAGTTTTAGAAGTGGTTTTGTAATTAAGACTCGGATGCTTGGAATATTTGAGGGTACATGGGTAAGAGGGGGGCATGAGGCTCTGGCCATACTATCAAATATGTTCCTTTAAAAACATGTGATTTAGTGCTTTGGTCTTAATTAACCAAACCTGATCATTGCGTGGCTGACCCATTGCATGTTACCCATATCAGGTCTTAAGGAGACAGCATCCTGATTAGCAGGCCCTCAGATGCTGTGTACCTGTGGTGTCGGAAGGGTAGACAGACATCTGTCCACAGAGAAAGAGAGAACATTAGAGTTACGGTTTATATATCCAGAAGGACAAGCCAGTTTCTATTTAAAAATTTTATCCCACCATTCTTTTCCCCCACACTAATTGTGTGTTTGTGTATGTCAGATTCTGATGGTTTATTCCATAATTAGTTAAATCAGTCATTGACACCTGCTCACTCTGTTTGTTTTTAACATTTTAAAAATTAAACACTGTCAACTTTTAAAATTGATTTGAGAGAGAGAGAGAGAGAGAGAGAGAGAGAAACATTGATTTGTTGTTTCACTTATTCATTCATTGGTTGATTCTTGTATGTTCCCTGACTGGGGATCAAACCCACAAACCCACAACCTTGGCATACTGGGATGATGCTCTAACCAACTGAGCAACCAGGCCAGGACCAAACATTATACACTTTAAAGCTCACTGTGTCATCCTGCACCTGCTGTACACGTGATTTTCCAGTAAAAACTATTGGGTCCAGATAGACTAGACAACTTGCCTACCAGGGCAGCCCTGAGATTTCTCATCCAGAGTTTGTCTCCAGATGTGTGTGCCAGAGTCTGTCGCCTCTGTTCCTCTCCGTAGAGAGGTGGTTCATGGCCATGGTCATCAGGGAGGAAGTGCAGTTTCCCGCCTTGGACCTGCTGGATTTGCTGGACCCGTAAGTCTCCAGCATTTCTGGACTGTCAGTGCCGGCTGTGACGTTAGGTTCTAGGCCTGTGGCCGTGACAACCAGCAGAAGACAGACAAATGGATGGAACTGGGCCCCCTTTCCTCTGCTCCTGTTTTCTATTGTTGGACAGGATTTCTGGAGAAAACACCACTTCAGCGTTCAGAGCAAAGGGGAGCCGAAAGCCCCTCTGCAGGGGCAGCAGCTGTTGCAGCTGATGGCAGAATTTTACACATTGTAAATTTTTCTGTCATCACACAGGTAGAAGACCACAGGAGCTTCCTGGGAAGAGATATACTAAGAACCATTTGTGTTTTTTTCAGTGAATACTTGATGAATAGCTTGGACCCCATGTATATATATAGTGGTGGCACTTGTTAATTGCCATTCACTTAGGCCAAGATGAAGCTGTGTCACTGGCGGCCACAGCTTGCAGTCATTACTTTTTATCTGGGTCATTATTTTGTGTGAAATAATGGCTCCTGTTTCTATGACAAGTACATCTGTCTTACGATGAGTTGGTAATTAACTCATTTTGTCATTGTACCATCATGGAGGATAAGCTTATGTTCTTCTCTGCATAGTAGAATTAAACTCAAAGTGATTAGGATTTTTTTTCTTAAGAACAATGCCCCAGTATTATTTTTCCACCAAATGTTTTAAATTAGAACCTTTGGATAGAGAACATGGATAGAAGGAGGGTAAGGCAATTTCATTCTTTTCCACAATTAGGAAAAATAAAGTCGTTTGTATCTGTGTCATGTAAAATTAGCTGAAGATGCCATAATTTACAGCCGCTCTCCATCACGATTTTTGCAGGCGATGAAGAGAGATGTAAAAGATGCTCTGCTTCCCTTCACTATGGTCTAAGGACTTCTCTGTGCACTTTGGCTGCTCAAATTAAATCTGGGCTACTGCATTCTGTTTTCCCCTCTTGTATCCTGCTGTTTTCCTTCCAACCAGCCCTTTATGTAAATTATTTATTGTGGACCACAGAACATTTGAAATTCAGATTTATGGGCAAACTTGGAGAGACCGTGTTTTCCAAGTCCTAGAACCAAGTGCTCTAGGGATGAAGAGCTGCGAGGCTGTGGGGGCACCACTGTGCCGTCTCTGTTCCCCGGAGGCAGAGGTGCAGCCGTCAGGTACTTGTGGAGCCTGGCTCGCTTGGCTGGTGGGTTTGTGGGGCCCCCTGGAATTTCCTGTTCTTCAGCGTTCCCAGAGGATTGTAAAGGAGACAGTGATATGGAAGAAAGAGCCTCCAGGTTCATCTTCAAATTACACTCTTTGGAGCATCTTGGGAAAGTGGTTATGTGTTTGGAAAGCACTTTAAAGTTTTCAGTCATTGCGCACATTTTCTGGTTTGTGCTTTGCAATAATTCCATTCAAAAGGCTGTCTTGGCAGTGGAATCGCCCTTCTAGACAGGTGGAAACTAAGCTCAGAGGAGACGAGGGCTTTGCCCAGGGGCGGGGCAGCTAAATGGTGGAGCCTGGGCTGGTCCTTCCACGGCGGAAGCACCAGTGGGTAGTACTTGGGCGGCACTGGACTTGGGCGGAGCCAGAAGGTTCTGTGGCTGGCCGGCCAGGGGAAGGTCTTGGAGAGATGCGGTACAGAATGAGGGCTCTGAAAAAAGGAGGGATAGACTGTTGTGGAGATGGAAGGACGAGGTGGACCGTGCTGTTCCTGGGTGGACAGGAGCATGAGATGAAGGTTCAAGGCTGAGAAAGAGGCAAGTCCTGTGCGGTTGGAGTGTAAGATGGACAAAAGGAGGGGGAAGGCTGTTCTGGGCAGGGTTTTATTGATTCCATGAAACAAGTGCCCTGCTCAAGCCAGCTTAGGTGAATCAGGCAGGAAATGGCTTGGAGCCCTAGAATTTCCCTGGGGCAGCAGTACAGAAAAGCCAAAAGACAGATAAATGAATCAATAAAGATTGATCTCTCTGGCTACATTATATACGGCTGGCGCATAGGTATGTATCTATAGGTTTATTTGAATTGTAAATGGGATTTTATACCGCATGGGGACTCCCACGCGGTGCCAGGCCGACCCTGTGCGTAAGGCCTCTACATGTACTGTAGTCTTAACCCTCATCTCACCCCTCTGAAGACTTATTTCCCTTTTGCAGGTAAACAGACTGAGGCACAGGGGAGCTATGCAGTTTGTCCCCAGTTACACCTGGGCAAAGCACAACTGGGAATTGAATGCAGCCTGCCCGACCCAGAGGCCACATTTGTGACCAATGGGCCATGCGGTCTCTTCCACATAGTTCTCAAAGGCTGAGAGCGGGGTGTCCGAGCCAGAAGGCTGCGCTGAACAAGGACACAGATGGGTGCAACTGTGTCTGGTATGTGGGGACAGATTTGGAGCATCTCGCCTCAGTAGAGACTGGGGCACTCGGTCTCACTGTTTACGGAAGAAGGTTGCACTCCCTGCCATTGTCCAGGCCAGGTGGGGGCCTTGGCCCTC